AAAGGTTCTATAAGGAGCAGGAGAGCCTCTAGGCAAAGAACTTCAAAATTCTTCTCACCAGTAGGAACTGACTCCAGGGAAGAGCAGTTTTTATTCTCCTCAGATTCATTCCTGGCTTTTCTGCTGTAACACTGTCAACTGCAATGTATACACTGGCTCACTGTGAACTGGAATAACTGGAATATCTAATAGATACTAGCCAAAAGGAAAGTCACACAAACTGTGTTTTTTCTAGCAACTATGACAAATGAAGCATTTGTTTTCTGAAAAGCCACTAGAACTAGGTAAAAAACAAGATCATGACAACAGTTTTCTTTTTGACTAACTATATCCTGGATAAAACAAGATCATAAAAATTTCTGAAGGAGTATTCTTATGTTTCCTAATTATCTGGGCCTGATTTCCACAACGTGTCCTGCCCCAGTACCACAAATAATCCCAATGTTGTGCTAGTCCAGCTCTGTTTTTTTTCTAGTGTGTGAGTGAGCATATTTACCTGTTTCAGCCAGTGTGCACTACAGAGGCTTTCCAACCAACTAAGCCTGTCAGTCCATCTTCTGGATGTTTTTTCCTAACTCAAAGGAATCTGCCACCTTTCAAAGTCCTCAGTCATTGTAATTAATCCAGACTGGGGAAAGGGAAAGTATCCAAAGGGTTCTTTCATCTTACTGTGCCTGGGGAAGTGAATAGTAAGTTCACTACTGATGTGCTTAAGTAACCTATTAAGTTACAGAAATGTCATCTTTTCCAAATTAATGTTGAACAGCTCTGTATCTGTCCACTTTCGACCATACTGAGCAACAAGATTAACACTGCTTTCCCACAGCATCTCAGTGGATTTAATTAGTTATTAATTGCCTGCCCCTTTGATTATAATGAATTCTCAGACAAATTATTTAATTCCAGTTGCCTGGATAGCCAGCTTCCTAATGATTAATAAAAATCCTGCAGCATAACAGTAATCATTATAAACATCCATTAAAAAAATAATTATGTCACTATTGAAAATGCTGGGTGACTGGGAAGCCATTAATCAAATGCAAAGTGCTTTTTCAGTCTCACTAACTCTAATCAGTCATGGCACCTGAAGGTCTCCAAGTCTGCCACCCAAGCCCCGCGTCTAAACACAGAAGGTACCAAACACTGAGACCATATAATTCTCTGCTGCTTCAAAACTTTCTTAGAACAGAAGCGTGAACTGAAGTTGTTAGTTCAAGGCTCTGGCATGAGGGCCACAGAGCTCAGTCTCATCCAGGAGTACTTGAGCCTACAGATCTCGCTCCTGCCTTATGCCTATACCCGCACCAGTGTTTGTGTGTGCGTGTGAAACCATAACCCAGGCTGGCTAGGTGACATAGCAGGTTAGCAACTATGCTATAAAAATACATTTCTGAAACATAAAACTTCCTATTACATTTTGGGTACCCATAAATAAGCCCTTTACAGCCATCCAATGGCCAAATACCCAACATCCCTGAAAGAAAGCCTACAAATAATTAAGTGAAACAAAGAGGATCAAAACCCACAGCCACAAAGATTGGGCGTTTTGTTTTTTCTTCTTGTTTGTGGA